CCGCGTTGGTCTCTGCCTGTGTGAAGGTCTCGGCCTTCTCGTAGCTGTCGCAGTCGATCTCCAGGGTGTCTGTATTGTTCTGGAGGCTGGCGCTCAGGGGCCCCGCGAAGTGGAGGTTCCGAAGCACGTTGGTGCCCTTCAGCAGCTCCCAAGTGGCGGGTTCGCGCCCCAGGCGGGGGCGTTGGCCAGAGTCACCGGCCACCAAGGCGGCCGTGATGGCCGCGTCGGTCTGGGCGCTGGTGTAATACGGGCTGAGGTCGATGGCCACGGCGGCCGCGATCGCGGCGGCCATCTGGTGGTGCTGTAGGCCGCCGGGCCGCGGCGATCGCCGCGTCGCGCTGGGCCGCCGTCTCGAAGGGCGCCAGGGCGGTCGCGATGGCCCCCGCAACGGCCGCGTCGGCCTCGGCCACGCTGTAGCTGTCGCAGGCCAGGCTCAGGGTGAAGTTATCGTTCTGGAGGCTGACGCTCAGCGGCGCGTTGAAATGGAGATTGCGCAGGGTTGGTGCCCAGCAGCAGGTCTCAGGTGATCTCTCCCGACCAGGCCTGGGCGTTGATCAGGTTGCTGCCCCCGTGCGTGGTCAACGCGGCCAGGATGTCGGAGTCGTGGCCGTCCAGCCTCGTGTCCCTGAGGCTCAGGGCCGCGTCCAAGACTGTCTGGGTCACCTGGCCCAGAAGCGCGTGGTGGCGATCTTCTGGTCCACGTCCGCGGGCGTGGTCTTGAGGTTGACCGCCGCGGTCAAGTCAGTGGTGCTGGGCCGGTCCAAGAGCGCCGTGGCGATTTTTTGGGGCCCCGACTGCTTGGCCGCGAGGTCCAAAGCCAGCTGGTCTGTGACGGTCCTCAGGGCGTAGCTACTACCCACGGTTGCTAAAGTGGCATTGTTGGCGGATGTGATGGCGGAGTTCATGGCTGCGGTGTTGCTGTAGCTCGCCAGCTTCGCGTCCACGGAGGCCGGTGTGGACTTGGCGTCCACCTGCAGCTGCAGCGCGCCCAGCGCGGATTGGTTGGCCTTCCCCGCCAGCCCCCGTGCCGAGGCTGGTGTTCAGGGCGGTGATGCTGGACTGGTTCGCCGCGATGCTGCCCTCCGCGGCGGCCAGGTCGGCGGCCAGGGCGTATACGCTAGATCAGGGGGGCCGGGCAGCCCCGCCGCCTGGGCCTGCAGGGAGGCCACGGCCGCGGCGTTCGCGGCCCCACCCCGGCGGTGTTGGTTCCGATGCCCGCGGTGTTGGCTGCCGTGTCGGTTAGGGGCGTGTAGGCGTCAGCACGGTGGTGAGCTGGCCGGCCGTGATGCCGGAGATCTCGGTGGTCCCCCCATCGTTCAAGATGTTCCCCGTGATGGTGCTCTCGAATAGGCTCATGGTTTCCTTAGTCCAAGACGGAGACCCCGGCGCCCGACAGCGTCACGATCTGATAGCTCACCACGTGGATGTACATGCGCTGGACGCGGTCCGCCAGCATGTTCTTGAAGGTGAACCGCGCGAGGTCGCCCGACCGCGTGCTGATGCCGCTGAGCGGGTGCTTGGGGACGCGCTCCGTGGGGAAGGCGGCGATGAACTCGGTGTTCGGGTAGAACTGGTCCACGATGCGCATGTTCTTGATCTTGGAATCGTACGTCCCGCCCATCACCTCCAAGAAGTGGTAGAATTCAGCGGAGCTTGCGATCGGGTACCGGGGGTACTGCAGGGCCCCCAGCTGCATCTGGCCCTCCAGGTTGAAGGGGTGCGCGCCGGGTACTCCAGGTTACGGCACTCGCCCAGGGCGTCCGTGGTCTGCCGGAAGGTCACGAAAGCTCCCATGAGCTTGGTGTAGGCCCTCGCCACCGTCACGTTGTGGCTGGTGACGCCCGAGGGCACGTTGGAGACCTGCGTGTGCATCGTAGGATAAGAGAAGACCAGGGAACGGCCGGAGAGCAGCACCTTGTTGAAGGATTCCACCAGGGCGCTGTCCAGCGTCACCTGGGAGGCCAGCACCCTGACGCTCTCGATGCTGAAATCGCTCGTGCCGCCGGCCGGGCGGAGCGCGTCCCCGGCCTCCGCAAACTCCAGCTCCAGGACCAGATTCAGCTGCGGGGGCAACATCTTCCCGCCCGATCAGGGTCGGGCTCATGAGGTCCCTGTACTCGCCGGCGGGGATGGCCTGCGCGTTGCCGCCCGGGTCTTGCCAGAAGCCCTCGAGGCCCCGCTGGTTGTACCATTCCTGCGGCTTCAGGAGGGAGTACAGGAAGCAGCTCCGCCCGTACTCGCTGATGTCATCCGTGCGCTGGCCGTTGGAGTACAGCTGCACCCCAGGTCGCTGGTGGCGTCGTTGTTCCTGACCCTAAAGGCGATCTTGACGCTCTCCGGGTCGATGAAATCCATGCCACTGGTCAGCGGGATGCGCGCCACCCTGGAGGTGGTGGGCGTGAAGGTGCTCAGCGAAGATGGAAAATATTGGACGTCACGCCGCGACTGCACATAATTGACGTTGGACGTCACCAATTTGTAGTCTAAGCTCTGCATTCACGGCCTGGGTGACGTTCTCCATCCCGCCCTGGTTTCCCCTATAGCGGTCAGGCAAGTTCGAGGTCACTCCTCAGCTGGTCGAACGAGGGCTCCGCGGCCAGGGACCCGCGGTCGCTGCGGCTTTGGTGGCTGATCCTGGAGCCCTCGCTGCCGCTCGACTGGCCATGCGGCCGCGGCAGGGGGATGGGGTTCAGGCCGAAGGGCGAGGGCTGCTGCCTCGCCGCTCTGGCGCGGACCCGCGGCGCCGGCTGGGCCCTCGGCGCCGAGTCGCTGTCCGAGTCGATTCGGATCACCTCGTCGGGCCGCTGCCGCTGGCTTTGGTGCATCGCGAAGTGCTGCTGCACCCCCGACTCCTGCGTGCCGTTCAGCGTCATGATGTCCACGGCGCCACTGCTTCGGCTCTGGTCGCTGTCGGTGCCTCCGCCTCCGCCGCCCGCGAAGCCTAGAACGTGGCTGGCCGCATTCAACCCGCCCTCAATGGCCCAGACAGGCGGTGCCCACCAGCGCCGCCGCCGCCCCCGCCACCGCGAGGCCCCCGCGACTCCCAGCGCCGCCTCGCCGGCCGTGGCCAAGATCCCGGAGCCCGCGGCGCCTGCCTCAACTGCAACGGCCGCCTCGGCCGAGGCCGCGGCCTCAGCAGCGCTCGCGAAGCCCTCCGCCTCCGCCTCTGCCATTTGGTTCTGGGTGAAAGCCTCTATGTCCTGGATGGCCCTCGCCTCCTGCAGCGACAGCGGCTCCACCTCGCTGGGCCGGCCGATGATCTGCGGCGGGGCCACCTCGTCAGGCGGCGGCGCCAGCGCGTCCTAGGAATGCGAAGCGTCCTGTCCAGCCACTGCTCGCCGCGGCCCAGGCCGCGGATCGTGGCTCCTTCGGCGAACTGCCGCGCTGCCGGCGATGGCCGTCTCCGCGGCCGAGATGCCCGACTCCCGCAGCCGGCTGCCCAGCGTCGGGGGCTGCGGCGCGTCGAAGCCGTCCATGCGTCGCGCCTGGGCGGGGTCCGCGCCCCCGAAATCGCTGCTGCTGTCCGAAAAGAAGCTGCTGCCGCAGCATGTCCCTGGGCGGCCCGGGGAAGGGCTGCCCGCGGTAGCCCTGGTCGTCCGCCTCGAAGGCCTCCGCGGGGTTGATGTGGGTGTGGGGCATCGGCTGTCGCTCAGCGCCTCGGAAGACTGCGGGAAATCGTTGAGGTAGAAGTGGGAGGCCATGTAGACCGACGTATTGCGCTTCGGCAGCTCCAGGGTGATGGGCTCTCCCTCCTGGATGTAGCTCGACACTGGCTCCATAGAATCCTGAATTCAAAGAGAGCTCTTTCACTCCGGTGCAGGCTGCGACTTTGGAGTACGGTCATTTGGAGTACGCTTTCCTTTGGGTTGGATTGCTGCGGCCTCACTCGT